GCCCTGTGTACTCAAGCCCTGTGTCCATGCAGTGTGATGTCTGTCCTGCAGTATTCACTTGTGCTGCTTTCTGCCAAACTGTTAGTAAATCCATTCTTATTACTTTAAAAAATTCAGCATGTCTGAAAATGCAAAGGAAAAGTCATATTTCCATGAGAAATGAAATCTATGAACCAAAATTTAGTGTTTTTCCACAGGAGTCCTGAAGTATTTGTTTCTTTCCTCCCCCATCTCCTACCTGACCCAAGGCCCTGGGGTCTCCCGCTGTTGTGTTCCCCACCAAAAGATCGCTACCTAACAAAGCAACTGTTTTATTTCCCAAGGAAACACTGTCTCAGAAGTACTTTCAGTCCCATGATATTAAAATGTAAAAATCTAGAATTAAGAATAAAACTTGTCAAGGCCAGCCCAGTAGCATAATGGTTAAGTTCGCACACTCTGCTTGGGCGGCCCAGGGTTCGCAGGTTAGGATCCCGGGTGCAGACCTACTCACCATTCATGAAGCCATGCTGGGGCAGCATCCTGCATACAAAATAGAGGAAGATTGGCATGGATGTTAGCTCAGCAACAATCTTCCTCAAGCAAAAAGCGGAAGATTGGCAACAGATGTTAGCTCAGGGCCAATCTTCCTCACCTAAAAAAACCCACTTTTTTCACAGCCAGTTCTTCAGAGTTAAGGCCACTTACCCAGACTGTGGTAAGATGTTAACAAGAGATGCAAATTTAATGTGCAAAGAGTAAGCAGGGTGACCCTAAAAGAAAGACACCAGCTTTCCTTAGCATCCATGCTTCCCGTTCATTTCATTGTCTGAATTTTAATGAAAAGAAATCAAAATGCGCATGGAGGATCCAATACTGATATTGAGTTTTGATTGCTGTTTTCCACTCCTCAGAAAAATATATTAAACAAAATGCAGAGTTGCACAGTTCAAGCTACTGTCTGTTTGTTCATAAAGGAAAATGCTTTGTATGCAGAAATTTCAAGTGAGAGGAGATGCCAGGTCTCCAGAAGCAGCTATTATCAAACAAAGCAGCTGGAAAATTAATGCACTGGAGATGGCTGTGGCCGCAATCTCGGATATCAGCCAGCGTCTTCATCTCCCTTGGTAGGAGTCTGTTTTGAACTGCTTATTGTACCCACAAAGCCTAAGTGTTCTAGTTCTTTGTCATAAAATTCCTTCCCCTCTTTTATAGAGTATCGCTGTAACTGTCTAGTTATTCTTTCCACAAACCTTTGCTGACCCCTTACTAGGAGTGAGGCACTGAGAATGGTATATGAGAGTATTCAGTCTATTTTGGTTATAGGTAAAGAGGAATGGGCCATTTAAAGACCTAATCAGCTTGATTCTCCTCCTCCAAATCAAGGTCCTCCTTCTAGAAGCCTGCCTATGTCCTCTTGCCCTATCCACGCTGAAGTGGCTCTTTATCCCAGACAATTAAGAGGGAGAATCTGTGCTTCAGTGAGGTGACTCCATCATCCCTTTCTGACCACAGAAATCCAGCCATTCTGGAGTGGGGAAGGGTGTGTGTACACTCTCCCCAAACAAGGACACATCTGAATTCCAGATAATTGAAGAATTTGGTGTTTTAGGTAATCCTATATTCTGGTTAATTAAGAATTGTCACTTATATAAATTACCAGGTTGCAAACAAATAGAGCAAAAGGCTCTCAAGGTGGTGACTTTCTTTGCATGAATCAGGGAAATGCACACCCAAGAGTTTAATAACAAAATAATACACTCTTTTCTTTTTGGACGGTCGATATTTTGTTTATATGTATCATGACTAATAGCAATGGCTGCAATTCATCACATTAGAAAAGCAATCAACAGTTCTAGCTGTACTAAATTAAAATTGATTGAGACCCTCTGTGCCCCTGGCAGAAGATAATAATTACATCACTATTAACTACATAGCCAATAGCCAAAACTCTTTTGAACTTCTTTTAGTCTAAGAAGATCTATTATATATTTTAAAGTCTTAGCATATACAACCAAAGCAAAATAGAACAAAATTAAAGCAAAGTCAAGTTAATGTATTTAATCTGGATCCTTCTGCAGAGAAAGCTACTCTCGTGTTTATCCGCCACTGGTAAAACATCTACTCTTGACTACGCACTGTCCTAGCTGCTCTGCCTGCTTGATTCATTTTATCCTCACCACATCTACGGAGACACATAGGTACCCGCCTCATCTTGTAGATGGGAATTGAGGCCTAGAGGGATGGAGTAACCAGAGCAGGAGCACAGAGCCAAGGCAAAGCATTTGTTCTAATCAATGAGCAACTACACTCACCGAGACCTTGTAGATGAGTACAGGAAACACCTTGCACAGACATATGTTCAAACACTTAGAAAACAAAACGCTCTTCTTAGAAACCATATCTCAACTTTTGCAATCAATAGTTTTCTAAAGGATAAGCAAAATTGGCGTGTATCCAGAGTCTCAGGAGATATTCCTCTTGGAGCCACAGTCCTTCCATCTCTTCTTGGCCCACAGAATGTTCCGAAAAGCAGGCCAGGGACAGAGAGGAATACAGGAAATGAAGAATCATTAACCACACTAAGTGTCCTTAAGAACAGCTCTGATGTCATTTATCTCCACCTTCCAAGAATACTGGGATGGCCTTGCATAGACAAGTGACAAATATTGTCAATTAAGTCTATGAAGATAATGGCAAATGTCACTGAGAAAGATTTGTGTGAAGCATTACATTAACTCAAGCTAATGTCCCCTACTTGCAAGGATGGCCAGTGTGAGGTGACATGAGGTTAAGAGAGTCTGATCCATGGTTGGGTGGAGCTGAACTCTGTTCTGAGTATGCGGAAGTTAGATTATAGATCCTCAAGGGAAGTTTTTCCAGATGGATAGCAAAAGGCAAGCAAGCAGTAGCCTCCAACTCGAATGAACCTGTGTTCCTGGCTGGATTGTGACCACATATTAGACTCTAAGGGATGGTCAGAAGCAGTGACCAAGACACTCCCTGTTATAAAATTCTGAGGGAGCTGCAAACATGGGCAGGAGTTAGAAAGAAACTTTTTACTGGCTTTCTCCCAGTCTCTGTGGTGTCGACCCTTTCATAAAAGGAGCAACTTTAAACTAAGTTGTTTGATTCAAAGTATTTGATTCTGATTCCTCTCCTTTCTCGTCACTCTGATTCTTCCTGTATGGCAGTCACAGGCCAGTAGGGGAAGATACTCCCACTCCCCCAAAAATGCACAATGGTGGTGGTGGCCAGCTGACTCTCCATTTAATAAGGTCTTATCACCGTGGGGGAGAAATTGGCATGATGAGAGACCACGTGTTGCCTTTACTCACTCTGCTCCCTCCTCTGCCTAAGCTCTGTGCCTGAGGGAGCTTTATAGGTTCCCCAGATTTGACTGACAGAGCAAATGACCATGGGCTCATGTTCCCATGTACTCTCTCACGCTATACCTAACTCTTGTATTTGTCAATAAAAGAAAAGTCTGTGGCTGCTTACTTTTTTTGTAACCCACCCTTCTGAATGCTGTACTAGTAAAATTATATAATGACCTTTATGAGACAATTGGAAATTTGAACACCCGCTCTATATTTAATGACATTAAGGAAACATTAAATTCTTATTTAGGAGTGAGAATGGTGTTGTGATAATATTATGTTCTTTTAAGAGTTGCTACCTTTTAGATATGAACAATAAAATATTTACAGAGTGAATAGTATGATGTCTAGGATTTGTTTCAAAATAACATGGGAGGGGTTGCAGCAGGTTGGGATATGGATGGAACAATATTGGCCTTGAGTTGATCACTTTTGAAGCTGGGTAATGGGTTCATCATGCTGGATTTTGCTTTGTTTTGTTTCTTTTGTATATATTAGAATTTTTCCATAAAAGAAAGCTTTTTTAGAAAGAATCAAAATTGGTTAAAGTTACTTTAAATTCACATTAGAAAATCATATTTTTTCAAAATAAAATATGTGCAATTTTCATGATTTAATGTTAAATCGAATAGGAAGATCTAAAATTGGACATAAAATACTGTATGTCCACATATATTTACATATGCATGTGAATGGAAGGAGAAACTACACAAAATGGAAATTGTGCTCGCCCAAGCTGGTGAGAATACATATTCTTTTCTTTATTCATTGTTACTTTTATGCATTTTCCAAATTTTCTGGAAAGAAAATATGTTTGTAATTTTATAAAGTTATTTTCATAAACCATGCTTATGATGTTACATAAAAAAAGGTTACAGAACAGTGTATGATCTAGAACTCCAATTCTTCTTTAAAATGTGTGTACACAGTGTGGGTGTATGTGTGTGTGTTTATCTAAAATAAATAGCATCGGGGCTGGCCCGGTGGCGCAGCAGTTAAGTTTGCACGTTCTGCTTCGGCAGCCCGGGGTTGGCCGGTTCAGATCCCAGGTGCAGACATGGCACCGCTTGGCAAGCCATGCTGTGGTAGGCGTCCCACATATGAAGTAGAGGAAGATGGGCATGGATGTTAGCTCAGGGCCAGTCTTCCTCAGCAAAAAGAGGAGGATTGGCAGCAGTTAGCTCAGGGCTAATCATCCTCAAAAAATAAATTAATTAAAATAAAATAAAACAAACAGCATCGAATTATTAATGGTGATTACCTCTGGGTGATGGCATCATTGGTCATTTCTATTTTTGTTTCTTTGCCTCTGTGTGCATTTTCTTCAATTAATAAGTATGTTATAATCAGAAAAATGTAGCATGAAAATTAAAGATAGGTTTATTGTACTTCTTTGTAAATAAAGAATTAGTTATACAGAGCAATATAACATATAAGTATACGGAACTATGTTGTATAATATATACTTATAAAACAGGTAGTAAGTCCAAGGGAATTTTAAATTCTCATTGAAAGCATATGTTAAACTTTTAAACAATGTTGATATAAAATCCTTTGAACAGTCGCCATTATATGGCAATGCTCTTGCCTTCATGTATTCAATTCCTTAATAATCATGTTTCATTTTCTGTCCATCTGCAGGTATATCCATGCCAGTACCAGTCTTTGGGCTACAGGATGATTCCAAGGTCTTTAAGGAAGGGAGTTGCTTACTTGCTGATGACAACTTTGTCCTGATCGGCTCTTTCGTGGCATTTTTCATTCCCTTAACCATCATGGTGATCACCTACTTTCTAACTATCAAGTCTCTCCAGAAAGAAGCTACTTTGTGTGTGAATGATCTTGGCACACGGGCCAAATTAGCTTCTTTCAGCTTCCTCCCTCAGAGTTCCCTGTCTTCAGAAAAGCTCTTCCAGCGGTCGATCCACAGGGAGCCTGGGTCCTACGGCAGGAGGACTATGCAGTCCATCAGCAATGAGCAAAAAGCTTGCAAGGTGCTGGGCATCGTCTTCTTTCTGTTTGTGGTGATGTGGTGCCCCTTCTTCATCACGAACATAATGGCTGTCATGTGCAAAGAGTCCTGCAACGAGGAAGTCATCGGAGCCCTGCTCAATGTGTTTGTTTGGATTGGTTACCTCTCCTCCGCAGTCAACCCGCTAGTGTACACACTGTTCAATAAGACCTACAGGTCAGCCTTTTCACGGTATATCCAGTGTCAGTACAAGGAAAATAAAAAACCGTTGCAATTAATTTTAGTGAACACTATACCAACCTTGGCCTACAAGTCTAGTCAGCTCCAAATGGGACAAAATAAAAATTCAAAGAAAGATGCCAAGATGACAGATAATGACTGCACTATGGTTGCTCTAGGAAAACAATGTTCAGAAGATGCTCCTACAGACAAAATCAACACAGTGAATGAAAAGGTTAGCTGTGTGTGATAGACTAGTTGCCATGGCAACCGTGGAGGGCACACTGAGCAAGTTTTCACCTATCTGGGAAAAAAAAGGAAATAGGGAGACTGGAAAAAATTAGGCTCATCTAGTGGAACCAACAATAATATTTATATGCATCATTTTATTCCATCAATGAAAAGCAGGGTTAAATGCCACAAAATGTGCACTTCAAAAATGTTCTGACAGCATTTAAGCTGTGAGCTTTATGATACTTATTTTTAACATTGTAAATGATATATGTCTTTAAAATAATTAGCTTTTATTGTATAATTACAATGAGGCCATAAATAGATCTAAATTAGCTTCTATTTTCAAGTGGAAACCTTGCTGCTATGTTGCTAATTGTTGGCATGAGTTGGTCAACTATTGCTGTAAATAAAAGTAGCTATAAACAGTGAAAAATTGGTTGACTATAAAGGCCTCAAATAAAGAAAACTTCGCTTTAAAACTTACCATGATACATATTTTGAACAACAACAAGACACTAAGGACAGTGTTATGAAGTCTGTATTGCTAAGATTATTAAATGAAATACTTGACAACTTTTTCATTCCTGCTTTTTCATAGATGTCATTTTGAAATGTTCACAACGTTGCTGGCATTTGCTGCATTTCAGGCTAATTCCTCTCAGAAGTGAAAAAGATTTTAAATGTTATTTAATAACGACTGCTGCTTTCTCTTCTATTTATGCTTAATTCTGAATTTCCAAGGTGGTCTTGTTTAGTGTTTGTTCTACCAGGTAAGCTATCAAAAGGATAATTTAACATTACCAAATGCATTTCTAGAAATTGCTTCTCCTAAGCAGCACCACAGAGGTCTTTGGTTACTTGCTCTGTAGTGACTGCATCGTGCATGTGCTCCTTTGAGCAGGAAGCCGTATTGATGTAACTGTGTCAGGATTGAGGAAAAAACTCAGGTTTTTGGCTACTGACAGCAGTAGGGTCCTAGGACATCTCTGTAAAAGGCAGTGACTTTCCTATTGGTACCCATCGGGTAAGCTGATGCTTTCAGATCAATCAATTTATATAATTTACTAAAACTGTTCAGCTTTGGTTTCACAATCATCTATGGAGCGCATACTATCTGTGAAGGAATTTCCTAGCCACCAAGGATCTAAAAATACTTAAAACTAGATCTTTGCCTTTAAAGAAAATGTCCTAATTGAAACGGTCCTTGTCAAAAAAATGTTAATTAACAGACTTATTTTGAGAATCAGTTCAATTTATTTTCTTCTTATCTGGTTCAGAAACAGATTTGTTTCAACTCTGAGGGTAGTTTCTCAGTAACTTTCCTGATCGGTTGCCAGTGAATAACAGCCAAACAAAAAAGGGGGGCAAATATCACCTAAAGTCAAAATTGGCAATTAGTTTAGAAATAGGCATTTCAGCCTGGACCCAACCTATGACTATCAAAGTTTTGAGCAAAATTTTTGTTCCGCTTCCCTAAAAATCAACTCATTTATTACTCACTGAAATTGGATTCTCCTAAATAAAAAAGCAGTAATATAATATTTTGTAGAAAAGTTTGCTAAAGAGATCAACAACATTGAATTCACCTTGATATTATATAATTGTGCATTATTATTGGAATAGATGTTAGGTATGTGACTATAATACTGAAGCATTTCTATTGAATGAGAAATAGTTTTTTGCTCTAAGCTGTTTGAAAAAAATTATAGATTTGAAGACTAAAGAATATGAGAGGTGCTATTGTGTGGTTGGAAATGCATTGGGGCTATCCTGATTATGTCCTTATACATACACTGAAAGGTGTTTTTTTCAAAGCTAGAATTTATATTAAGCCTCCAGTATCGAGGCTACATTTGAACTGAACTACTTCAATGATTATACCATACTAACTCGTCAAAATACAAATGTTAAAAAGTCTCACTCTAATGTATTTTGCCTTAGTTTATAACTCTGCTCATCTCATTGTATACTAGAGAAAAGATTACAGATTCTACCCCTATATACTCAATCTTGATCAGAATCAACATAAATACTGCCTGACAGATGTCTTTTGACTAAATATATTACAAATGTGTATGTTTTTTCTCTCCATAAGTATCTATTCAAGTGTATATAGACAAACATATATCTGTATACATGTACAGACCTGTTCCCATGCACTTTATTTAATGTTTATATATTTATACGGAGAAAAAGCAAGAGTCATTAATGAAGACACTCAGTATATACACATGTGTGCATGTTTGTATCATGTCAATTTAAATGTGAATTCATGTTCTAATCTTTCTATGACCTTCCATTGCTGTCAAAGCAGATTAAAATGTAACAGAATTATCGGCTCTTTAAATAAACTGGAAGTTGACCTAATTTTGGGGAAGACACAATTCTATGAGGGTGGGGAAAACCATGATCGATCTTAAATAAAATGGTACCTTTGGGCCTTGTGTTTAGTCTGGGGACTTTCTAACTACAGAGGCTTTTTAAATACACCCCCTACTCCAGTGAAACAGTCTTTGAATGATATATGGAGCTATGATTAAAGGACTCACTCCTAGTTAATCCTATTAAAATAGGGTAAATAACCTTACTCTACTTTAAGTTGAATGGTAGATTCTTGTATACTTAAAGAAAGGAATTTAATGTCATAATTAGGGAAAACTCTGTTTAAACATGCTTAATCTCCTTGGCCACAGCGCCATCTCGTGGTCATTTTTTAAAGTGCTACTGCGGCCAAATTGAACTAAGTTCCTGTACCGCTTTTGGCAAAGGATGCTTCTTCCATTTGTGCATCAATGAAACATATTTATAAAGTGTAAAATTATTCTGTGCCATGTGTAACAAATATAGTGAGGATTATTTTATGTAATGATTTTAATCAAGGCGATTGTAAAAGATTTCAAGAAAGAATGAATAATTGTAAATAAAGTATACTCAAAAATGAATGCAATTTTGTGAAGCCATAGCTGTGCCTACTAAAGGCAGATGCCCAAAACCTCCCAGGACATCAGGCTTGGAACTCCAGATATCATCCAGATATTATGAGAGGACAAAGTCTGTGCTTCTGGAGCTCAGTGAGAGAGCTGGGACCCACCTGGTCCAGTTAGATTTATGATTGTGATACAGTTTCCAGTTACCTGCAGCAGAAAAAGGCTCTGTGTTTGATCACTAAATCTGGTTCCACACAGCCTTGGAACATAGAGAACGGCTGCTGTATCCCCGACACAGGCAGGTACCTGTGGGTACCTGTGTACAGGTGTGCCCCAAGACACGCACAGGTGCATTTACACACACACACACACACACTTAATCACATACACATACACACATTTTCACAGGAGATAACTTCAGGAATTAAAGTAAAACCAAGGAGACACAGTATCCTTAAATAAACTGGAAAGTTGCCCTGGTTCGTCACTTCACCTCTAAGTGTAGGAAAAGCTTATGAAGCAGGGACAGTAGGTATCTTTTCCAGGTGTTTATAGCTCCAGGTGTTGAGTATCCACCATGTGCCAGGCATTACGCAGGTTGCTTCACTTGCTTTACCTGATGGAATCTTCACAACAATCCTACAAGGTAGGTATTATTATTCCTTCTTTCTCATAGATTAAGAAATTGAGATTCAGAGCAGTTAGTAACATGCCCATGGTCACACAGCTGGCAAGAAAAGTGGCAAGTTCAAGCCAGGGTCATCTGACTCTGAAGCATAAATTCTTTCCCCTACCCAATCCCATACAGGAGAAAGAGCGATGGGTTCAGGACCAAAACGTGCAAGTTCCCGTCTTAGCTTCTCTGCTCGCTGGTTATATGAACTTGGACAATCCACTTAATAACTCTGTGCCTCGATTTTGTTGTCTCTAAAATGGAGCTATTAGTACCTGTCCTGGCTAACTGACATCGCTTAAATGAGATCATGGCTATGGCTGTGCTTAATAACCTGTAAAACACTATGTAAATGTTATAAACACGCTGTTATTAAAAAGAAAAAAACCACAAATTATTAGCCATCAGAGCAAATTCTGGACAAAGTTGTGGGATAGGAAAAATTATTATTCAACAGCTTCTACTATCCTTCCTGTAAATGCTTCTCATTTTTTAAAACTTTTTACTTCTGCCTTGTCCTCATCATGACACAGAGCTCCCTTGTTGGTACCCTTTTTTCTATGCTTCCACCAAAACTTACCCATGCTATGACCCATTCCCTCAGGTTTCTACTCTCTGCTAGAGCACTAATAAGTAATTCGAGCTGATAAACCATTGTCTGTCACTGAGACCCTGTAGCTGTCCACCATAATCATACTCCAAAAGGCAGAAACCAAAGGCAAAACATTAGACACCAGTGAGAAAGAAATTTGGAGACAAGAAATATTTTCCCAGTATCACTCAGCCCCCTCAAAAAAACAAGTACCTTCAGACTCTTCATAATTTATATAAAGTTTTATAACAATATTGAATTTTAATCCACAATAATAATGATAATTTTGAAAGAAACATCTGTGACTTTTAAGATTTCATTCTAAACTGAGAACAATAATAATGTTACTAAGCTTATTCTCAAGTTCAAAGCCACTGGATGTTTGCCCCAGCAAATATGCAGTAAGACAAAACTTCTTTGTTAATTTTTGATTATTTTTGCAGGTGGTTTGCAAAAACAAATGGTTTCCTTATTTTCCCTCAGCAGTATACACACCAATCACAGCTCTATTCTTCCTTTTTGCTATTTAACAGCAGTATGTCCACCTAAGCCAACACATTATGGGAAGTTTTCATACCCAGTGGAGCCTCTGGATTTGATGTGACTCCATTGCTGCAGAAGACCGAAGCAGGAAACCTCGCTCCAATCTGCCACTCCTGTGTGACCCTGAACAAGTCAAAGCCACTTTTCCCTCAAGTGTATAATGAAGGTCTTAGAGTCAATGATCTCTGCAGGAAGTCTCTTCTAGGTCTGTGCTTATCTGAATGCTAGGGAAACCAGTCAAGCCTTCAATGAACCAAGGCACAGCTTTATATGTGAAGAATATTCTGGAACTCACGATTCTCACATTCTCCTAAATTCTTTAGATGAATTTCAAATAAATGACAGCTTTTAATTTTATATAGGTATCTTATGAGAAAAATCAAAGGTTAATGATCTAAGGGATTTCTAAGGTAGGAGATCAAGAGTCAGATCTCGACAGAAATGATTCCTGCTGTGGCATTCTTCTCAGTCAGCCTGTCTCCTGCACAGGTTGTAGCTGCTGTGAGATATTGGGTTGCTCTTTTTAACAGCCTCCAGACATTCTGAGGAACAAGTGCTCTCACTACTTGAGTTCAATTTCCTTGAAGGGTTAAAATTTAAAAACTCAAAAAGATTTAAAATTCATGGAGCCGAAAAGATCTCTTTTTTTAGAAGCTCGATTTTTGTTGAAAGTGAGCCAAGGTCATTTAAGTTTTTATTTAGAATTAAGATTATGAGATCTTAAAAGGGTCTTTACTCTGTCTTCTAGAGAACAGCACAATTTGTACTTCCTGTCCTACGCTTATTTCAGATATTGAAAGGTAGTATGTCCCATTATTCAGATGATATTGTCTAAGTTAGGGTGACTCCAAGTGCAGAACTGAAACAAGAACTCGGGTGCAGGTTGTTTATGTGGGAAGTGATCCTAGGAAGCAGATAGAATTAAGGAAGAAGTAAAAGTCCATTTAAGAATGTGGTATCAAGGGTACTGCAGACAGTTAGGGCTCAGTTCCGCTAGCAGTGGGAGATGAGTCGAAACTCTTCACCACAGCTGCCTGAAGGCCAAGGTGGGCCAAAGGCACCTGGTCAAGATCTGGCATGAATGTTTTACCCGGCTGGTGATTAAAATCAATGCTCCCCCAGGGCTGGCCCCATGGCCGAGTGGTTAAATTCACGCGCTCCGCTGCAGGTGGCCCAGTGTTTCATTGGTTCGAATCCTGGGCGCGGACATGGCACTGCTTATCAAACCACGCTGAGGCAGCGTCCCACATGCCACAACTAGAAGGACCCACAACGAAGAACATACAACTATGTACCAGGGGACTTTGGGGAGAAAAAGGAAAAAAATAAAATCTTTAAAAAAAAAAAAAGCAATGGTCCCAAAAATGAATATGCCTCTTCAATAGAAAATGGTACTATTATGGTTAACAACAATTTTTAAATAAACGTACGTTCATATCATGCAATTGCACCTAAACTTATTGCTGAGACCCCAGGACCAGCACACACATTTTACATAGAATCAAGCTCAGAGGCATGCTGCAGGTAATTCCTTCTGGCTCTGCGAAGACATTTATGGTTTGCCGTTCTCATTCCTATAGGAGCTGCAGAAGACCTAGAAAAACACTCTAAATATGTAAATAATAAATTCTCTGCATGAGTTCTATTTATTTAGCTTAAGTGATAGATCTAAACTACTGAAATGGAATAAACGAAAAGAAACATACTGACTATATTTAAGGGAAAAAGGAGCTTAGACACCATCTAGTCCAGGCTCCTCATTTAGCAGAAGTGGTGATGAAGAGCCAGCGATTTTCGAGAAATTACTTAAGGTCCCCTAGCAAAGCAGCGTCAGAACCAGCAATGGGATCCAGGCCTCACACATCTTAATCTCTACATTTCTCCTTTTATATGAAAAATGGATCTAAGAAGGGCCCATTTGTTTATGGTCTGCATGGTTTATTTATTCACATAACCAAAAATATGTTTAAATCAGGTTGAGTGATCAGTGCTGCAAACTCGCTTATTCTCTCATGTTTATTAGCGAGGGTCCTACTATGTGTGTGTCATACCTACAACATTTTTAAATGTGGGAAGTCTGGGGATGGAATTACTCTTTAAAAAATAACAAAAATAAGATGTTTAGTGGGGAATTATCCTGTCCTCTTTACAAAATTCGTGTTTATTTTGTTGAGCCAAATTAGCCTGATTATCTTTGTCACAAATTAGCCTAACTGATATATGGGTAACTTAGCACACCTACCCAATGATGCCTCTTGAGAGACTGCATCTGATGGATGGCTCCTGAGGCAGTGTCACCACCCTGATTCAGATGTTTCAGCCACTGTAGACCCTAGTGAAAAGCAATTAATGTGGGACTCTGGCAAAAGTGTTAAGAACATGGGATTTGGCAATTAGTTTTAAAGGAAAAAAAATGAAAATTAGATATAATTTTCAACATCACTATTTCCAGGCTCCACTATTAAAATTCTGCATTCTAAGACCCAGGTTTACAATGAGGCATATAAAAGAGAATATCCAAAAGATGGGGATTAAGTCAACATAGACAAACCAACCAAGAAGAATTTTTTAAAAAGAAGAAAACAGGAAATAAAAAAGAAACCAAACAATGATACAAATCAAAACTAATTTGCTTGGCATGTACACATTTATTCATTTGTCTCTCTGACAATCTGAAAATGGGATATATCTATAACTATTTAATTTCTAAAAATGAGATGGTGAGTTTTTTCTGAATTAGCAGGAAAATAGAAAGTGTTAGACATTCATGAGTGATTGTGACGATGAAAAAGTTGACAACTAAACGTCTTCAAGACTGAAGAGCCAAAAGAGTAATTTGCATGAAAGTGTCACACTATCCTCAGCCTTCAAATATAATCACCAGAGAACTTGACTGTGATTAATTCATGCCTGCACTTGTCTACAATAGAATGTGGAAGCCATGGCTCACATTTGGTCGTTTACCTGTCCACCATATGGATCTTACTAAGTCTGGAAACCCATTAGGACCACTCAAAAAGGATAAATCTTGTCAACCTTAGAATTATAAACATAACCGTGTTGCAACTATCAAGTTATCTCAATTTATAGGAAATGTAATAAATAAAATATTGAAGCTATGGGTGCATTTATATCATGCACTGCTTTGAGAAATTTGTTTTAAAGACTTTGAAAGATGAATTCTTTCCCCCTCGAAGAATATTTTTTGTTTGACTTCAGTAACAGCTTATGTTGCTAACAGCTTCAA